CACTCACCATCTTACTGTTTCATGTTGATCAGTTGATTATATAGCAATCATGCTCGTCCATTTGATTAGAAGAAATGATATCTAGCTGATTTTGTGCTAGAATTAGAAAGCCATGAGTTTGTTTTGGTAAATTCTCTAGCATGCCTAAACGTTCGAGTTTGATAAGAGTAACTTGGTTAACTTGTTCGAGATCAATATTTTGCAATGTATAGGAGGAAGACGAAAAGAATTTCAAGGAGTCGCTAAGTGATGAAGATTATGACACTAAGCAGAATATCAAAGCCCCAACTAAAAACATCAAAGGCAATGGAAAGAACAATGAAGTTGGTATGGGCATAAAAGATTGGTTTGTAAAATCTCTCTTCATTTTGGCCTCTCTGATCATAATGAGAATAAATATTCATGGTAAATCATACTATAAACAATCTTAGCACGAAAGTTCTAAGATATTCTTTTCAAACATCATGTGCAGGTGGACAAAGAGCAAGTATGCGTACTTCAACCAACTAGCTGTTGAGTTTGGCGAAGAGAGTCCTCTTTTCTCGATTGGCCATATCTGATTTCACTAACACTGTTGAGAAGATTGATGGTATTGTTGGTAAAATTGTGTAATGGAAAGAAATTGTTTCTATCCCACATCAGTGACATACAAGTTTGGTGAATCTTTTTTTTATTTAATTTTTTAGTATTAGTTTATATTTTAATTTGTATATTATTTATTTAATTAGGGAAATGATCGTATATTATATCTATTTATTCATAACGCTAAGTTATAGATACCGAATCGTGTCTGTCCGTATTTAACCGAGGCTGAATTCGATTACATAGAAAGATATGAAGGGCATTGTAACCTTGAATAGCCTTAATTTTGCACTGGTTGAGAGTTGGAGACCAGAGACACACACATTCCATCTACCGTGTGGGGAGTGCACTATTATGCTAAAGGATGTTTCCTTACATTTGGAGCTCCAGTAGATGAGGATGTCATTTCTAGTGTGGTGGATGATGATTGACATTACTTTTGCGAGGAGTATCTTGGCGGTATCTCGCCTAATTTTAATGGTGGTCGAATATCGTTATCATGGTTGGTTACAAATTTTTGACATTTGAGTGACGATTGTTCGAGGAACATGCTAAAATATTTTCCCAAGATTGCATATTACAATTTATAGGAGGGATTTTGATATCTGATAAATCTCGCAACTAAGTTCATTATATGTGGTTGTATCACCTCGCAGATTTTCAAGTTGTTGGCTCATTTAGTTGAGATTCTGCAATTTCGGCATTTTTGTATAGATAAATGTGTCGAGCAACTGATCTCAAAAAAATGCTATCAGCGGATGTCTCCTTCTTCTGTAGTCATGGGCATGTTATCATATATTTTTATATGTCCGGTTATGAAAAATCAATTAGTCTTCCCGTTATTGTTGAGGTAATTTTAATATTGAATTTGTATATAAATAATTTTTTTGAGTATATAATGAATTTTTTTACACTAAATAGGTGGTCATATATAAGGAAATATCATCGTGATATACTAGACGAACTAGAAGAAATTCGGCTACTCATTGATAAAAAAGTTGGTATACGTGTATGTATTTAAATTTTATTACTTACCTTTAATTATCGTTATATAATTAAAATATTAGTTTGATAAGAATTATATATATTTGTTTTAGTTTCAATGGACTCCTTATGCTACTGAAGAAATGAGGCATTGCATCTCACCTCACTTGAATGGCCCATTAGATGTATGAAAGGCGGTTGTCCCTCTGATATGTTATGCTATTGTCGAGTGGCATCCCACTGATCGCTTGCTCCACAATTTGGTTTCGTACAATCTATTCCTGAAGCACCTAGGGATCTCGATAATTTGTATAACATTGATAAACGGGGCAAAAAAGAAATCAACTGGTTGATGAAGCTCAGCGAGTAGGTAATGATCTGAGAGGATCGATGTGGACGTATTCCCCGTAGGGAACCGATTTATGTGGATCATTATTCGGTTGTGGATGACTATTATTAGTGGTTCAACACGAACGTAAAACTCTTCCTACTTTCCGAGGAAGCACTAGGCGAGAGCATTTATCGGCATTGAGAAAAGCATCCATCATCAAAGCATCATCGTCCCTGAGTCATAAATGGAGAGCAGACACTTCCGGTTCATCCTCAACTGTAGCATCGGAACTATCACAGCAGTCATCGTCTACACCGGTTTACATTCCATGGTCGTTTTAGATGCCACTGCAGTCGGATCAAACGCCGCCGCAACCATTTCAAATGCCACGACAGCTAGTTCAGATTCCACTGCCGCAGGGTTTTATGACACCTCCTGGTGAATATTATAGTTTCATGCATGTAGATCCAGCGTGGGTTTTATATGCTGATTATTTTGGGGGTGATGCTTCATTACAGACTCAAACACCTCCAGTCCAGTTTTCGCAATCATCTATGTAGATGTTTTCACAGTTTCTATGAGTGGTGGGATGGTTAGTCATACACCTCCAGGGTCTTTATTCTATAGAGGTGCTATATCGTTATCTGTTCCTCATCAGCAAAATGTAGTTGCTATTGTTGATGATAATGACAATGTGAGTGAGGAGGAAGAGCAACTTATACAAAGCAACCCCCATCGAAATAGACAGCCACCACCCTGTGGAATACATTCAAGATGCAGACATCGATAGACTTGTTTAGATTGTTATGTTTTATTTAATTTTCTTTATTTATCAGCAAACGTAATGTTTTTATTTAATTATGGATTTTTTATTTATTTTGTTTGTTCATGTTTTTATTATTTAATTATTTGAATTGTATCATTTGTATTTAATGTTTCTATTTAATTATTTTTATTGTTTTTATTATTTAGTTTGTAATGTTTTTACTTAATTTTCACTTGAGTAGTCGATTACTTAGTGATGCTGAAATGACATTAATGCAAGGAAAACGGAAATAAAATAACACAAACTGAGATTTTAGAAACAATAATTTCATCATCACATTATCAATGGTTATGTGATGATAAAAGAAATGAACATTTTCCCATTGTGGCCTAGGTTTCTACAATACCCATATCTTTTGTTTTCTTTGAACGTCTCTCGAATATCCATATCACAATTAATTCGAGTGGATTTTGAACGACCAACCTCCCTTAATAAGGACAAAATTAGTACAATCGGAAGCCAATTCTGAACCTCATATGGGTCTTTCTCATTACCTGTGGGGGAATTTAAATTCATATACCTTAAATACTTCTGAAAGTTGGTATACGAGATCTATAAAATGGTTATAATCTTGATGGGTATAAGAGCAAGCTGCTATGACATGGGAGCATGGATACTTCAGAGCTTGAAAAAACACACAGTCATCACTTGTCTCATAGATTAACTCTGAACGAGTTAGATTCAATCCATTGAAGAGGTCGTGTGACACAAAATAATTTATGGGTTCAAGAGAATCTTGTTACAACCATTCCATTTGAAGCAAAAATTGTTTTTTTGTAGATCTGCAACTAATCTTGGGTGATAAACATGGTCGTCTTGCATCTAAGGTTTAGCTTGTCCCTCGAGCTTGGCAAAAAGCACTCCGAAATGAAAATATGTCATTTTAACCAAAGTTGTTACTGGTAAATGGTGCGCCCCTTTAAGGTAGAATTGATAGCCTCAACCAAGTTGGTCATCATGTGTCCATATTGATATCCATCATCATATGTATTTGACTACATTTCTTTGTTAATAAGGTTTATGTAATTGTATTCTTGCTCGTTTTTTACTCGCAAATCTTAAAGCATGGACTCAAACGTTTGAGGAAATAGTTTGTAACCGAGAGTCGAATGTAGTACTTACTGTTAAGTTCCCATAAAAAATTAAAATGATGAAGAAATGAAATTAGGAATTGTGGCATACCTATGCGCACAAGTAATTGGCATTCATCATTCTTCTTGAACTTTCCATGATAGTTCATGACAATATGTCAGATACAATACCGATGTTGGACATTGGGTGGTTACCACATTGGACCCAAAGACTCCATTACTGCTTTGATCCCAGCTCCACAATCTGAAATGACATAGATTTTCCCCTCGTGACAACACGTAAGCGTAAGTGTTTTAGGAAAAAGGCCCAAAAATTTGTATCTTCTCCTTCAACAAGGGAAAAAATAATTGGAAGAATGTTGTGATTACCATCTTGGACAACTACCAATAGTAGAACTTGTTTGTATTTTCCATACAAGAATGTTTCATCAATTTGGACCACGGGCTTGCAGTGTTTCACAACATTAATGCACTGTGGGTAAGTCCAAAAAAACTAGTAGAATTGACATCGCTCGTGAAGCACTTGATCATTGTGGTATGCATGGTAAGTTTCAAAGTCGACTATTGTCCCATGATTCAGTTTGTGCATTACCCTAAACCAACTTGGTAGTTCGTTGTATGATGAATCCCACTCATTGTGAAGTTTTTAATGGCATTCTTATTTGCCTTCCATGCTTTCCTGTAAGAGATGGTCTACACATATTGAGATTGTATAGCTGAAATTAGCACCATAATAGCTATATGGGAGCTTCTTTAGATATAGGCATGATGGCTTGATAGATAATGTTAGAGTCCAAGTTGGGATGATCCTGGTTGATCCCTCTAGCATAATATATATGAGGAACCTTTATATTGTTAGTTCTCCTATGTTATTTTTTCTCTTCCTCTTCGATACACGTACCATCCAGTTACATCCGTTATCACGTTGGACATAATAGCAAACATACTTTTCGATGGTAGATCAGTTGACTCTAGAGTGAACAGAATTACGAATGTTGTAATTCTTAATTGCAATCATCGTTTCTTACTTCGATGCAAACTCTATTCCTATATATAACTTACCATCATTGACTGATGAGTTAAATTTCTAGTCACCAACATTAGGTATATCCATAAATTTTGGCCTATACATTGCACCATGTTAGTTTCATACATGTGTGTTGGAGGTTCGATGTGTACCGTATTTATGAGAACTTTATCTACATCATCATTATCGAAGTTCATGTTGAACTGCAGTGATTCTGGCTCAACGAATAGTCCAGTCTCAGCATCATCCACACCTAGTTCACGAAGAGGTTCTTCTGGTGGAGATAAGGGTTCCTATGTGATGCCAGTATTTAGGTTAAACAAGCTGGTAGTTGAATGCCTTCCCCTTGAACTTAAAGACATCGTGTCATATATGTTTTGAACTGAGTGTTGTGTCGCAGGCATCTCGACATTGAGGTCGAAGAAGCGTGTAGAGGGCATCCCCATATTCAAGTCAAAGAAATTAGCAAATGAATGTCTTCCACTTGAATTGGAAGCGATATTGTCATATAGATTATTCGTGGGGCCACCTCGATAGAGGTCGTAACAAGTTGTTGATGAATGTCTCCCCATTGAACTTATTGAGATGGTACCAGGATGTGGATTTCTCATTAACGAGTTAAAATCATTACATATTACTTTAGTTGGGCTGTCAACTTGATCAGTTTGTTGAGCCAACTCATAGTGGAAGCATAATGACATACCATGAACCGCAAACATTTCAACAAATTTCGCATACATTTTTGTATCATCCCCAACCCGTATCCGACCTAAATACGAATTTGAGGTGCCACATTGACTTTTCAAATCTTTGACCTTTAACAAATAGTTGGCAATAATTTTTTTTGAACAATAGAACATTTTTATAAAATATAAAGAGTACAACTTTTCAATTAAACTAAAAACATATAATTCATCATTTACAAAAAAACACCATAAAATTTACATTTACAAAAATTGATCAGAGTATTTCCATTTAAACCAGGGATACATGCCAACAATATGTACAAAACTTATAAACCTACGGTTTCAAATGGTTCTGATATGATCTTCACGGCTTATGTTGTCTTCTCCTAATATTTACTCTTCCGATCTCTTTGAACCTACGTGTGAAAACAATCCACACACTAAGTCTTTGACTTAGTGAGGCAATAAGTAGTATATAATAAAACATTTTAAAAACATTTTTCATTGATCCATATAAAACTTTTCATACTTGACTTAAATATGATTTCTAATAACTTACATTAAATCACTCTTTATTCAACTTTAATCCTGATTCTTTTAGCCCAATGTATAACACTGAGAATTTAGGATATCTGAGTACACTGAGGTTGTGCACAATTGTTGTCACCACAACTCATATAATTTACACCTAAGCGCCATGTAAAATTTGTCCCGAAGGAGCGCGTAGATTTTGTCCTGAAGGACCACGTAGAAATATCCCGAAGGATCACATAGATTGTCCCGAAGGACCGCGTAGAACCCTCGACTCTTGGCATGCCAACTATACCCCTAATTCTCACATATACACCTTGGGCTTTAACTTATAATTATTTTAAGTTTCACCATTTAAAGTGTATCTTATTTGCATATAGAACATTCCTGTAGATCATTTACACCTAGGCATTTCGTATTCACATGTCACATTTTCACATTCAACACAATTAACAATAAAACTTACTTTAGAATATAATTGAATAAAACATCATAAAATATTGCATAAAAGAATTGAAAATAGATTTCGATCGAAAACTTTGAAGTTGGCTTATCGTAAGCCATCCTCAAATCCAATATAAAACCATTTAGTTGAACTCACCTTTGCCTCACTAAAGTCCTTTACTCTTTTGTTCGAAACTTGAAATGTCGAGTTGTCCAAAAGTTGATTTTGTTCAACGTGTACACAAAACAATCGAAAATAAATATCAAAATACGAATCACTTATCCTAAATCATAATAACTTAATCTGTAAGAAACACTAATTTTTCTCATTTTATACCTAGTAGTATCGGTATTCTCCCTACAGTACCGATACTTCCCTTTGATGGTATCGATACTCCCTTTGGTACCGATATCATTTCAACATACTGGAATTTTAGCTTCAAAATGGTATCGATACCTAACTCTTGGTATCGATAATACCCTTTAAGTATCGGTACCCCAACAATCAGTGTCGATACTGATCCTTGATTTTTAATCGATTTAGCCTTGAAGTATCAGTATTGTTCTTATAGTACCGACACCCTTGCCTAGATTTCATTTCTTCCACTTCGAATTTTAACCCAAGATCATCTAAATCCTTTACTTTTAACTCTAATCATCTCCTTAACTCATTAATACTCATACTAATCACTTATCTTCACTAATTCTCTTATAACATCAGAATTTCTCAATAATATTCTTAAAACTAAGAATCATATCTTTTTATCAAACATGATATAAATTATTTCTAACACTTCAAATCTCTGAGCTAGGACTTTGACAAGGCAATTTTTCCTTTAGAATCCATTTATCAACCAATTTACAAATTTTCACTTCAAAACCCATCTTATTCATTCCCTAATAACTCCTTATTAACTTAGTTTTTCTTCATTTCCAAGCTTCCTTAATCTTCTCTACCTCTTATAGCTTTAATACAAACCCATAAATTAAGGAAATCAACAACTTACTATAACTCACCTTAAACCATAAAGTCTCGAGCCAAAGAAGAAGAAAAGAAAATAACTAAATTTCTAGATAACTCTATTTCTCCCTTATCCACTTAATATATCCCAATATAAAATGGATATAAAATCCATATGCTGTAAAAGACCATCTTGTCCTTCTTCTCTTCATTCTTTGCAAATAAATCCTAACAAAAAAATTCCAAACATTAGTCCTTGAACTCATCACTTATTCCAATTACACTACTAAATTTTAAATTTCTTATATTTTGATCACCGACCCGATGTTTGGGGTATTACAATGACTCCTCTTCCCCCAAACACCTCGATAGTCAAGTTGATGCAACCTATTATACTAATTAAATTTGAGATGAATTGCACAAATCGAGTAATCTCAGTAGTAAAAAAATTGTTATTATTTCTTGAGGTCTCGGGTTTGAGCACCAAGAATGCCAAGGGTGTAAGCATTCAATCTCAAATGGTTTAGAGTTATCTTTTAACAGATATTGTCTTATATTTATCATAGATTAATAAAAAAAATTAAGATCACTGATGTCTTGTACTTAACCACGGATGTCGATGAACCCAAGCCCGTCGAAGCCAAGATCACTTTCGGGTTAGTAACTTTTAGTTCCTTCGCCATTATGAAACATTTTTTTGTAAATTTGTGAAATCTCACTGCACTGTTGTTCAAGCATCAGTTCATATATCCACTGTTAGTCTTTGATTTGGATTTGCTACTGCGTTGCATTTGCGGGAAGGTTCAGACCGGATCCTTCTTAAATGGTGCAGCTCCTAATTTCGGACTTGGTGTGGACAATATATCAGTTCCTAGCATATTAGCGAAAGAAAAGCTTGTTTTGAATTCGTTTTCTTTATGTTTCGGGTACGATGGGGTCGGAAGAATAAATTTTGGCGATAAGGGCAGCTCAGATCAAGGAGAAACACCGTTTAATCTCAGGCAATCACATAAGTCATTACTTGTCTGCTGTTTGGCTTGCAGATACACTGGTTTTACTGATGCTTCTCTTCTTGGCATTCATTCTCAGCCCTACTTACAATGTTAGCATCACTCAAATAAAAGTGGGAGGAAATGCTGGAGATCTCGAGTTTAATGTCATTTTCGACTCGGGTACCTCGTTTACATATTTGAATGATCCAGCTTATTAACTTATTTCCGAGCGTGTAAGTAGTGTAAGTAGTTCAAATCACATACTTCATTTGTTTTCCTACTCGTTTCCATTTTCTCCAGTACACGTCTTTATACTGAGTTTATTCGATGGTTCAACAATTTGGCCCAAGAGAAGCTGTATACGTCTTATAGTTCTTCCGATAACCTTCCCTTCGACTATTGTTATGAGCTAAGGTAATCCATTTGTTAAGATTCGCCAAAAAGATGTTTATTTTCATTTCCTGGAGGCCTCAGGCACTGATTTCTTTTACCTTACAGTGCAAACCAAACAAGCTTTAAGTATCCTGTAGTGAATTTGACAATGAACGGCGGAGATCGGTTTTCCTTCCACGAGCCACCAGTAGTGATTCCCACACTGGTAAAAACTCATTTCCATTCTATTAGATGTTTATGTTGATGAAGATAATCCTTGTTCATTTCATCTCCAGGGTGGAGGTCTATACTGTTTAGGTGTCGTGAAAAGTGACACTGTGAATATCATCGTACGTGTCTCCCCGACACAGATCCATCCTTGTCTATAAAACCATGTAGCTTCTCAAAATGTAGCTATATTTTTCTAGGAGTAAATGTTTGATTCCTTGTTACATTTTCTTTAATTCAATCCAGAAAATTTCATGACCGGTTACCGTATCATCTTCGATCGAGAGAAGATGGTACTCGGCTGGAAAGCATCTGACTGTTAGTAGCCTTTCCGTTTCGTTGGCATATCTAGTTTATTTGATACATCTTTTAACAATGAGATCTGGTTTTCATAGGTTACGATATCGAGACCTCGAACACTCTACCGGTGATACCACCGACGGCGGTTCCTCCGGCTGTGGCCGTCAATCCAGAAGCCACAGCGGGAAATGGCAATAATTCTGGCGTTCCAGGGACATCTTCACCCGTGACAAATCAATCAACCCTGCTTAAAGCTCTGTCTTATGGACTCACAATTACTCACAATGGCAATAGTTCGAGTTCCAGAGATTGATTATTTCTACAGCAACATCTCTCAACATTCTTTTGGTCAAGCTATGAAACTAAATTTTTTTTGATATATCGTAATATCTTTTGTCCAATTATGTCCTTTTATAATAAAATTATTATTTTTATTTCTTGCGTAAATAATTTAAAATTAGATATTTTAATCCATTTTGAAAGATTCAATAAAATATTTAAATATATAATTTTAAACTCATCCGTAAAATTTGAATAAATATTTATATTTTCCTTGATCAAAGACGATACTTAAACGTGACAAAGAATCTTGGAGGGTGGCCTGATCCGGGATGAAAATGAAGACCGGAGGAGCGTCTTCATGATACGCTTGAGAAAAAACAAATAGCACAATAGCAGAAATTTGAAGAGTTCGTCAAGGACTTATCATAGCAGAAAACTGCTGGGTGACTAAACTGATTCTAGAAATGGACTCGAGATGGGTGATGGATATTCTCAACGAAGAGTCATCGAAGGAATACTCAGACAAAGGAAATCCTCAGAGAGAGTTGAGTGAAATCAAACACATATGACGTGAGGGTAATAAGTTGACAAACTTACACATATGACGTGAGGGTAATAAGTTGACAAACTTTGCAGCGGAACAAGAGAACAGGACGTCCATTCTGTCGACGCTTCTAACAGAGTTAATCCCTTTGTTAAAAGCGGATGCTAAAGGATTGGCGTATTAAGATTGTAGTCTTCTTTCGTGCTTCTGTTATGGATTGAATTTTTTTTTTTCTCATATGAGTTTTGAAGAGTAGTAGCTCAAAGTGTTCTTTATTTTTAAAAAAATAATTTTTAAATATAAATAAAAAAGATGTCTTTGTTAATTTGAAACAAAATTTGAAATTAAGAATCAAATAATATGATAGAATTTGCATGACGAATAATTTGTTAAATAAAAAAATTTAAAAGGAGTCCTAATAATTGTAAAATAGAAAAGAATTTATTATGTTAAGTGATTTGTTGACTAAAACTTTAAAAATAAAATACATAAACGGGAAAATAACATTTTAAGAATTGTACTTTTTATATTTTCCCAGTTTTCCTCTAATCTTATTTATATTGTATTATATTATAATCTATTACGAATTTGAGAATGAAAAAAAAATAACTAAAGCGATATCAACATAAGATATGCTCAAGAGATGAGACCTAACATGATTTGACATTATCTATTTCTACAGGCAATATAAATAATAATCCACTATAAACATAGAGAACACGAAGAGTACGAATACATGACATCACATGTATTCAAAAAATTATCCAAAACACTCTACCAACATCTCTATAAAACTATTTCTGCAACATAAACTCAAAATTATAGATATCCCAAAAGAATTGCATATTTCAAAATAATTCTCTCTCGCATAACCCTAAAAGTTTAGGCATTATCATGTAATCTTCAACCATTACAATTACAATAAAAATCAAATTAATTATCAATTAGAATTTAGGTCAAAATATAACAAATCTCCAAATCGAACTAAATTACATCAAAAATTGGTTTTCAAGTCTTTAACAACTTCAATCTTTACATAAACCGCATATCCGTTGAAGCACCGTTGTCAAGTGTTTAACAACTTTAATTTTTATACAATATCCATTAAAGTATCACTAGATCAATAGAGAATTACTTCCCTGCAATTGAACTCATTGCAGTAAACTCGTCTTGCATGTTTTAAAATCCCTAACAAAATATGCAAGAACAAATTCTTTTAAAATTCCATAGCCCGTATCATAGCTTTGATATTTAAAAAAATTGTGAGCGAAAAAGTAACTGAAGCGATGTCAACATAAAATAATACATGCACAACATACAAGATTTAACGTGCTCTGCTCTAGCTTACTTCTACAGACGAGATGAATAATAATCCATTATAAACGTAGAGAACACAAACAGTACAAATACATATATCACATATATCCCAAAATTCGATATAAATACCAAAATCTGGTATATCTCAAAATACTCTTCCAACATCCCTACAAAATTATATCTGCAACATAAACCTTAAAAGTTATAGAGATCCAAAAAAAGATTATCTCTCCAAAATAATTCTCTCTCATATTCTAAAGGCTGAGACATTATATCTATTTATAGAGAAAAATATTTGATCATCAACAAAAATTTTCATAAGAATTCTTGTCTAAAATAAATATTTACTCTTTTAAATATACATAATTATTAAATAATCTTCAACTATTAAAGTTACAATAGAAATTAACTTAATCATCGATATAATTTAAGTTAATATATAACATAATCAAAATCACTTCACTGTTGTATAACAAATGTCTCCCTTTAATGTGGCTACATGTCACTTCAAATCAAAAAGTTGGAAAAAATAAACTAACAATATAAAAATTTATAATAATTAACATTATGTTATAGATAATATTAGTGTTCATGTTATTTCATCTTTTAAATTCTTGGCCTTTTATATTTTTTCTATTAAATATTTGATAAATATTCTCATTTATTTAAATAAATGTATTGTAATAAAATGTCCCGTGAACACCTTGGCTAACTAAAAAGGACCCTTAATTGTACTTAAAAAACAAGCTTTATTAAGGCAAGTAACCACTGTGATTGTTACACCCCAACCTCCTTTTGAACAAACGAGAATCTTTTTTTCCCTGTTGTTGGATCAGACGTTAGCAATGGCTGGGAGGGCAAAAGTGATTGAATAATGTAATGGGGAAAAAAATTCTTCACATAGTGTAGTCGAACAATTATTTGTTTAAATAGGGTGATTGCTACAGTGACCTCCATAGGTCTCAAGGAGCACACGGCGACCTACCTAGCCATGCATGCGAGAGAATAATTGCAACAACGAGGGAAGAGAGAAGAGTTGCTACAACAGAGGAGATTTTGTCGCAAGGAACACTTGGCGACCTATGGAACATTTGACGACCAATGAGGTCACTGTAACAAATACCTCAGTTCAAGAAATAATTTGGTTAGAGCCCTATATGGGGATTTTTTTTTCCAACGCCTTATATGAGGAATTTTTTTTTCAACGCCCTACATGGGCGAGGAAGCCGGCTGGGAGTGTTGTCCTAATCTCATTATAGATGCAATGCATAAAATTAACCAACTTCTCATCTTAAAGAACACGGAGAATGGGATCTGAGAGCAAAATACACTTGTTTCAAGCACTCACTAAACCAAATGTCCCAACGATACATCAATTTAGTTACATGTACTATTAGAAAATTAATCCTCACAAACCATAGTTGCAAAAGAAAGTTGGATTATTTTTAACATAGATATGAAGATGACAAAGTTCAGTTGCATGGGGGAGTTTGTGGTCGGATGAATGATGCTTAATAAACACTACATCATTCTTGCTTAAAGAAGCAATTCATTACTATATACAATGGGGCCACCTGCAGGTCACCTCACCTTTGTCACTAATGGATCCCTATGGCTCACTATAAATCTCCAAACATTCCCATGCAAAAAACAAGCTCAAATCTACTTGTTAGTCACTAAATAAGACATGGCTTTATTCATAGCGGTACTGACCTTATTTGTCCTTGTGTTGGCATCTTCTTCGCCGACCGTTGCTCTTAGCTTGAATCACTATGAGAAAACATGTCCTTAAGTCGAGTCGATAGTTGCAAAAGCTGTCAAGAGTGCCACTGTGAAGGATAAGACTGTCCCTGCTGCCATTCTCCGAATGCATTTTCATGATTGTTTTATAAGGGTAATTGGTGTGGATTTTAGAGATGTCGTCTTTGAAGTTTTGGTTTCAATATTGATTTATATATTCGAATGGCCTTTTTCTCCGGGGTTGGGATGCTTCTGTGCTGTTGTATTCAAAGGGAAACAATAAAGCCGAAAAAGACGGACCTGCAAATCTTTCATTGCATGCATTTTATGTTATAGAAAATGCAAAGAAAGAAGTTGAAGCAGTGTCCTGGTGTAGTTTCATTCATGTGCTGATATTTTGGCTTTTGCTGTAAGGGATGCTGTTGTGCTAGTAAGACATTCTTTCATGCAGATTCCAAGTTCTATATGTGTAATATATGTATACGGTCGATCTAATGGTGTCTAAACAATCAATTCGTTATAGTTCGGAGGTCCTACGTGGGATGTGCCCAAGGGAAGAAAAGACGGGAGAACGCCAAAGGCTGGCGAAACCATACAATTGCCAGCTCCATCCTTCAACATATCTCAATTGCAGCAAAGCTTTTCTTAGAGAGGCCTATCCATGGAAGACCTAGTGGCTCTTTCAGGTTAACTGAATTGATAAAATTATATATGTTCATGGGATTAAGATGGTACTTACATGTGATGCTGATGCAGGAGGTCACACCATTTGATTTTCCCATTGTTCATCCTTCCAGAAGAGAATCTGCAACTTCAATGCAACGCATGACATAGACCCGACAATGCACCCATCGTTTGCAGCAAGTTTAAGAGAATTTGCCCGATCAAAAACAAGGTGAAGAATGCAGGAGCGACTCTGGATCCTTCCTCGACAACTTTTGATGACACCTACTTCAAGTTGATCCTGCAAGGCAAAACCTTGTTCTCTTCCTACCAAGCACTGCTCACAAATTCGAAAACCAAAGGTTTGGTATACAAGTTCGCCAGTTCAAAACAGAGTTTCAACGAGGCTTTCGTAAACTCTATGATCAAAATAAGCAGCCTCAATGGAGGACAAGAGATAAGGAAAGATTGTATGGTTGAAAATTAGATTATGAACTTGTCGTAACTGTCTTTCGGTTGGGCCACGGAATTGGGCTTCGACTTGAAAAATGTGATTGGAGTCGCCACCGATTATTTATTTAAAAAAAATAGGTTAATCGGATACCTTATATCTTACATGATCTGCGTCTTACCAAAGATATGTCGGATTCGGGAATCGGTTACGGTCAAGGAAGGATTAGCACCCTTGAACTGCCCTTTCGGTACTACGTAATTTCCAGTTGTTTTTAATTAAGAAAATCGAAAGTTAAAATTTAAAGGTAACATAT